GCTGTGGAGAGGATGGATGGAGGGGAGAATTAGAAGTGAAGAGGAGAAGGAAGGGGGAGGAGGAGGAGGGAGGGAAGGGGAGGAGGGATGGAGGGATGGAAGGAGGGGAGAATTAGGAAGAGGGAGGGAGAGGAGGGAGGAGTAGGGAGAAGAAGGAGGGAAGGGAAAAGGAGGAGGAGGGATGGAGGGCGAGAGGAATGGAGGAAGAGGGGAGGGGAGGGAGAGAAATTAGGAAGGAGGGAGGGATGGTTGGGTGGATTGGAAGGGATGGAGGGAGAGGGGAGGGATAAAGAAAAGGAGAGCATTTTAGAGGGCAGGAGGTAGGGAGGGAAGGGAGACAGAGAGAAAGAGGGCTTATCAAAGAGAGACAGGAGGGATAGGAGAGAAAGAAATGAAGGAGGGACATAAAGAAAGAGATAAAGAGAGAAGAGAGAATAGGATAAGCCAAAATATCTAAAAAGAGAAAGAGAGGATAAGAGAAGAAGAGGAAGCAGGAGACAGAAGAGAGAGACTGACACAGACAGACAGATAGATATCGACAGACACAGAGACACAGACAGAGAGATAATGCTGTAAAAAATTGGCCGAGAAGAGTGGGCCGGCCAGACATCCATCTACGGCAACCAAAACCGCCAATAAACCTTGTAAACTACCACTTCAACCCCTCCTCCCTCCCTCTCTCCTTCCCTCCCTCCCACCTGTTTAAAAATCAGTACCTCCCTCGCCCCCTTCCACTCCCCCTCGGTGGCCATAACCACAAACATCGCTTATAAAATTAACGTTTTAAACTCTCCAGTTTTCCTCCATTCCGAAAAGGAGAGAAGGGTAAAGAAGAGAAGAGAGAGAGAGAGAGAGAGAGAGAGAGAGAGAGAGAGAGAGAGAGAGAGAGAGAGAGAGAGAGACCAGAGGAGGGGGAGGAAGGGAGAGAGAATAATAGATGGATGAAAAATATAGAATGAAAGATAATTAGAGAAAAATCTGAGTGAAGAGAAATAAAAAATAGTTGAAGACAAACCGAGACATAGAACAAGTGAAAAAAAAAAATATCGGCGGGAGAGAGAGAGAGAGAGAGAAAGAATTAGAGACAGAGATAGCGAATCAGCAGAGGAAAAAGGAGGGCCCCTAGATTGGAAAAGCGATTTTTCACCCAGCTGTAGATCAGCTCTTAATGGGATCCTCAGCGAAGACGATGCAGATTCTCCCTCTGAGAAAGCTAATTCACTTACGTGGCTTTCTCGGCGGCTTGTGGTGCTCTGTCTGTCTGTCTGTCTGTCTGGCCGGCTGGTTGGCTGGATGTCTGCCTCTTTCTTCCGTCTTTCTCCCTTTCGCTGTCTATTTTTCTCATTTCTCTTTCTTCCCCATTCTTTCGCCCCTTCGCATTCTTTCTCATCTTTCTTCCGTCTTTCTCCATTTCTCTCTCTTTCTTTCCCATTCTTACTCGCGCCCCCTTCGCTTTGTTTCTCCTTTCCTTCTCTCTCCCTCGCACCCTCTATCCTCTCTTCTTTCCTTCCTTCTCTTTCTCTCCCTCTCCCTCTCTCTCATGATCTAACCTCCCCTTCCTCTCCTCTTCCTCCGTTGTTCCTTCCCTTCCTCCCCTCCTCCCCTCCATACCTTCCTCATCCTACTCTCCCACTCCTCTGTTGTCTCCTTTCCACTCCCTCCTCTCTCCCTTTCTCCGTCTCCCTCCACTCCCACATCCTATCACTCTTCCTCTCCTCTCTACTCCTCTCTTCCCCTACTCTCCCATTCATCCACTCTTCTGCCGTCAGTCTTCCCCCGCCCCCTCGCCTTTAATCTCTCCTATTCTTCTGGCCGCCCCCTTCTCCCTCTCTCTCTATTCTCCCCTCCTCTCCTCCCTGCAACTCTCTCCCTGACGGTGAAAAATAAGTTGTTAATAATCGGAATTGTCTCGGTAACTACCCACCAGCGCACGGTTTATTTGCGGCCGCTCGCTACCTCGGGTCTCTCGGAGTGCTTAGCGTGATGCGTGTTGGGAGTGTGTTGTGGGGGGGGTTGGGTAGGAGTGTCGGGGGGGGTGTAATGTGTGTGATAGGGGAGGCGGGGACTGGTGTCATGTGGGTGGGGTTCTGCTGTGTGTATGTGGGGTCGCAGGGGGGGTGTTCGCTGTGTGTTTGGGGGGGGGGGGGTCTTGTTTGTCCCTGTGTTCTGTGTTCTGTATTATGATTGGGGTTCATGAGAGAGGAGGCAAAACGAACTTCATCTGTGATTCAGCTAATTCTACAATTCCTAACAGGCGCTCTTCCAAATTCTCTCCTCCCTCTCTTGTCTCGTCGTCGTCCGATTCTCATTCATCAAAAAGAAAAAAACAAAAAAAAAAAACACAAAAACAACACAACAAAAATGGCACAAACAAAGAAAAAAAAAAAAACAGTACACACACAACAATCCTCCCCTTGTTTCCTCACCCCCATTCCTTCCTCGTCTCCTCTTCTTCATTCTTCCCTCTCTCCCTCTGTTTTCCCTCTATCTACTTCATCGGGCTTATCCTTTGCTTTCCTCTTCCCTTTCCTCCTTTCTCTCCTTCCCCTCTTTTCCCCTCCTCTTCCACTCTCTCTCGTTTCCTCTCCTTCCCTCTCTCCTCTTCCCCCCCCCCCAGCTCGCTCTCCCTCGCTCTCACCCTTCTCCCCCTGCCCTCCTCTCCAATCTCGTCCCCTCTCCCGGCACCCTCCTCGGCCCCGGCTCTCTCCCGGCAAATATTCCACGTCAAGGAGTGGGTGTCAAGCGGCAGTGTGTGTGGGTGTCACTCCACTGGTCACAACAGCTGTAGTGTTTTGAATATTCAGATGTCCGTCGGCGTGGGTGGAAGAGAGAGAGCAGAGAGGAGAGAGAGAGAGAAGAGAGAGAGAGAGAGAGAGAGAGAGAGAGAGAGAGAGAGGGGGGGGGGGAGGGGGAAAGGAGGAGGGGAAGAGAGACACAGACACAAAATTAGTGAAGAGAGAAGAGAAGGAAGGTGAAATCAAGAGGTAGAGATAACGAAAAATAAAGTCTAAGAGAGAGAGAGAGAGAGAAATGAAAAAAGGAGTAAGGGAAGAAGGAACGCACATTTAACATCTCGACCGTCAATTCGTCTGATTTTTACATACATATCCTCAGTCGTCCCCTCCTCCTCCCCCTCCCACTTGTCTCCTCGCTCCCCCTCCCTCTATTGTCTCCTCTCCCCCAATTTCCTCGCTCCCCTTCTTCCCCCTTCCCTCTCCTCTTTGCGCTCTCCTTCTCCTCTCTACCTTCCGTCTCCCCCTAGTCTCCTTGCCCCCTCTCCCCTTGTCTCCTCCCTCCCCTCCCTAGTCTCCCCTCTCTCTCTCGCTCCTCCCCCCCCCCCCTTCCCGCTCCCCTCTTCCTCCCTCCCCAGTCTCCTCTCCCCCAATCTCCCCTTGCCCCTTTCCTCCCCCCCTCCCTCGCCTCCCCTCCCCCCCCCCTTGTCGCCCCGCCCCCCCTCTCCTTCCCTTAGCTTGGCGTCGTATAGCAACTCATTTTTTCTAAGTTCTTGTTATATTGATCCGATTCATGCTTGGTTGACAGTCTCCAATTTCTTGTTTTGTTGCTTTTTTTTTATTCCATCCTTCCGGTGAACGGAGTCAGAAGAATATGCGTTTCTTTTTTTTTTGAGCGTGTGTGTGGGGGGGGGTCAGGTTTATTAGTGTGTGTGTGTGTGTGTGTGTGTGTGTTGTGTATGTTGTGTATGTCTTTATCTTCTTTTTATCAAACACATTATCTCTCTATTTGTATCTACGCCTGTTTATCGCTTTAATCTATCGGTTTCAATCTATCCGTCAGTCTTTCTTTTCCTATTTCTTTCATCTCTCTCTCTCACCCTATCTTTCTCCCTCTCTGTAAATAATCTCACTTTATATTCCTTTTTACACCTCCTCCCACCTCAAAAAAAATAATCTTTTCACCCTTACCCTCTCACTCTTAGAAAAAAAAAGTTTGTTGGTCATATATATAGATTAGTTGACCTGGTTACCTTTGTAGGGGGAAAAGGGGTCTTTGGATAAATAAATGCTGGTAGGAGGGAGTAATGAATACGAAAAGGAGAGAGAGAGAGAGATAATGAGATAGATAGGATATAAGATCGAATATTGAAGAAAAAGTGACTATGGGAGAGGGACAGGGAGAGGTAGGAGTAAAAAAAATAAAGAAAATAATAACGAAAAAATGAGGAAGGAAGAATAAGACCAAACTAGAAGAAAGAAGAACCAGAATAAAAGGAAAGCAGTACGGATAGAAGAGAGGGGGGGAGGTAGGGAAGGAGGAGCAGATAGAGAGAGAGAGGAATGAGGAATAAGACAGACAAAAAAAGAGGACGAAGAGGAATAAGAGGAGAGAGAGGAATAAGAGACAGCAAAAAAAATAGACTAAGAGGAGAGAGAGAGAGAGGATAAGAGCCAAGCAAAAAAAAAAAAAAGAAAAAAAAGAAAAGAGAGGACGAAGCATTGAAAGCTTTTAAGGCCAATGATATGCCCTCGCCCGCGTGGATCTGGAGCCGAACACGTTCCAGAGACGAGAATAAACAAGCGGGCGCGGCTGAAGGAGGCGGCGAAGGGGGCGCGCTTCGGGTGCGGAGACACGGGCGGCGGCGGTCTGGTTGATCGAGGATTTACCGGGGGGGGGGGGGTGACGTCATCGGGTTCTGCTTTTCTGCGGTTCGGAATGATGAGTTTGCACGGACGCGTGTACATGGTGTGTGTGTGTGTGTGTGTTTGTTGTTGGTGCGTGTGCGTATTGTTGTGCGCGTGTGTGTGTGTGTGTGTGTGTATGTGTTGTGTGTGTCATTGTGTGTATGTTTGTATGTTGTGTGTGTGTGTTGTTTTGCGTATTTTTTGGCGTAGACATTATTACATAAACACACCATGTTCTGGTTCATGGCATACATATACGATTCCCTATCCACTTCTAACCAGTCTACTCCTCCTTAACTCTAACTATACATCTATTCCCCCACATTTCTGCCACGCGCCTGACCCCCGCCTCCCTTGCAGCCGAGGAGGAGCACAGCGTGGAGGAGCGAGCCACCAGCAGCGTGCTCGACGCCGCCAGCGCGACCCTGCGGGCGGTGGAGGCGGCCCGCGAGTGGTGGGCGGGCGTCGCCGACAACCACTGCAAGGACCTCCCCGCTAAGGACGACCACTGCTGGAACGGCGTGCGAGTCGCTCCGTGAGTAGTTTTCTTTTCTGGTTATTTATTGTTATTTTTTTGTCTGTCTTATCTTCTTTCGGGAGCTGCTGTAGTACCTTGTAGGGAGAGGGAGGGTCTTCCATGTTTTGTTTTTATTTCTTTATTTTATTTTGTCTTCTTTATTTGTTATTTTGTCTTTCCTTTCTTCTTTCGCGAGGAGTTGTAATGTGTTGTAGGAAGAGGGAGAGAGGAGGGTCTTCTACGTTTGCTTTTGTTTTCATTAATTTCTTTTATTTTGTCCTTCTTTCTTATTTCGCGAAATGTAACGCGTCGTAGGAAAAGGGCGGGTCTTCTACCTTTTGTTTCTTTTGTTTCTTTATTATTAATTTCTGTAATTTCGTCTCTCTCTTGTTCTTTCGTGAGGACCTGTTACGTCTTGTATGAACAGGAATGAAGGGCTCTTCCATCATATCTCTTGTTTTTCATTATCTATTTTTATCATTTTGTCTTTCTGATTTTCCTTCGCTGTAACGTGTTGTAGAGATATCAAGGGAGTCTTCTCGTCCGGATATCTGTAAGCGGTCTGCATGCGGATTATTGGCCGTCTGCTCCGAGATGAAGACAGCCCGGCCGCGGAAATTGGGCGCAGAGTGGGCGGGGGCAGCGAGAGCCTCCGCCCCGGGGCCCTCCTTGAACTCGTTACTGAATTTCCATTAACGTCCGCATGTGGAGAGCGACATGCGGAGTGCCGGGACGCCAAGCCTCCTCTGCCTGGCTGCGCCCTCCTCCCGCGATCCTCTTCGCTCCCTCTTCTCTCCTCTCATGTTCTCTCTCATGTCCTCTCTCTTCTCTCCCTCTCTCTCTCCTCTGCTCTCCCTCTTCTCTCTCTCTTCTCTCTCCTCTGCTCTCACTCTTCTCTGCTCTCCTGTCCTCTCCTCTGCTCTCCCTCTCTCTCTCCTCTCATGGCCTCTCCTCTGCTCTCCTCTTCTCTCTCTCTCATGTCCTCTCCTCTGCTCTCCCTCTGCTCTCTCCTCTCATGTCCTCTCCTCTTCTCTCCCTCTTCTCTCTCCTCTGCTCTCCCTCTTCTCTCCCTCTTCTCTGCTCTCCTGTCCTCTCCTCTGCTCTCCCTCTATCCTCTCATACTCCTCTTCTCTCCCTGCTCCTTCTCCTTTCCTCTCCGCTCCCTGTCTCCTCTCCTCTCCTCTCCCTTCCATTTCTCCTCTGCTTCGCTCACTTGCATCCCTGCCGACGTGGAGCGAGCGTGAAGTGAAACGTGGGTAGACAACCCCGTAGAGTTGTGTCGCGATTTTTTTTCTTCTTCTTCTTCTTCTTCTTCTTCTTCTTCTTCTTTTTCATTTAATGATTTTTATCAGTTTATTTTATTTCTGATTTCTTTCCCCAAAACTGGAATTCGTGTTAGGATCGTTTTCCTTCCGGGTTATTTACGTATCAGTTTCAGTGTCGCGGCGTATGCACCAGTTCCAAGATGGCGGCCGGCTCCCGAATGCGGCCACGTGCGAGAGCCGTATCGGCGAGCGGCTGAGGGAGCGGCCGCCTACGGTGACCTAGTAATTAGCGTTCGTTCCCGTGCTCCAATTTAACGCTTCGGCTCCACTCGTATTCACAAGCGAATAATTTCAACATCTCGCCATGCATACGTTAGCATGTAATTAACCCCCCCCCCCTCCCCCTCCCCTCTCTTCCCTCCCTACCCTCATCCACTCACCAAGGCAGGGTGAGAGGAGGGGAAGGAGAAAGAGGAGGAGGAATAGGGCTGGTTGTAAGGAAAGAAAGGGAGGGGGTTGGGGAGGAGAGGAGGGAGGGGTGAAGGGAATGAGGGAGGGTTTGGAAAAGAAAGGGAGGGGAGGGGTTGGGAGAGGAAGGGAGGGAGGGAGGGATTATGGTTGGACCCGTTTCGGTTTGGTGGATGGGGGGTGAAGTGGTAGGGAGGGGGCGGGGGGGGCGAAGGGGGGAGGGGGCACGTGATTGTAGTCGTATCAGGCTTAAATGTTATTATTTTATTATTATTGTTTCGATTTTTCTGTTATTCGCATTATAATTGCTATCATTTTTTATGTCATTTTGCCGCTGCCATAATTATTTTTTTATCATCACTATACTGTATTTCTCATATTTTTAACATCACAATATTTGCTATTATCGAGTTATCATTATTATTATCAGTAAGTGTTATTAATCAACATTACAGTGTTTTTCTCTTAATGTTCTGCTTAGTCTCTTTTCTTACTCTTCATCTTCCATCTTTAACTTATTATCTCTTTATCCTCCTCTTCTCCTTACATCTCCTCTTCGCAATCTGAATATCCATCCATTTATTATAAAAAAAAATAAATAAATAAAAATCAAGGCATTTTCTCAATTAACAAATTCTGAGCTCTCATCGCATTCACATTTTTTTTTTCAGCTCTCATCTCATTCGCATTTTTTCATCATTTTTTTCCTCCTCTTTTTTTTCTCTCTTTCTCTCTTTCCTCACGACTAGAGAAGGGAGAAGAATTCACATCACCGGCATTCTAAACCTACAACTTGAGCAGCAATCGGTCCACGGCGCGAGGCGGGGAAGAGGAGGAGAGAGAGAGAGAGGGAGGGAGAGGGAGAGAGAGGGGGAAGAAGGGAGGGAGGGAGAGGGAGAGGGAGAAGAAGAGGGAGGGAGAGAGAGAGAGTGAGAGAGGGAGAGGGAGGTGAGGGGAAGGGAATGGAGGAGAAGAAGGGGAGGAGTGGGGGAGGTGGAGAGAGGGAGGAAAGAGGAGAAAGAGGAAGAGCAGGAGGAAGGAGGGAGCAAAAGGGAAGGAGGACGAGGGGAAGAAGTGGAGGAGGGGGTAAGGGGATAAGGAGTGAAGATGCCTGTGGGGAGGATAAGGGGTTAGAGAGGGAGAGGTTTGGAGAGGAGAGAGGGGATGAGCGAGTGGGGGAGGCAGAGGAGGAGGGGGGGGACCAAAGACATGAGGGAGAGGGAAGGGGATGATAGGTGCATGGAGAGAGAGGGAGAGGAGGAGGTGAGGGGGAGATGAGAGGAATGGAGCGAAGAGAAGCAAATTAATTAGCAGGAAAAGGGAGAGTTGAGGTGGAGAGAAAAGGAGGAGAGTGGATAGATGCAGAGAAGGGAGAGGGGTGGTGTAGACAGAATAGATAGAGAGGGATAAGATAAAGAGGAAGAAAAGGAAGGTTGATAACGGGTAAGGAAGGTTAAAAGAAGAGAGAGAGAGAGAGAGAGAGAGAAGAAAGAGAAAACGAAAGAGAAAGAGAAAGAAAGAAAGAAAGACAGAGAGAGAGAAGTGGAGAAGTGGGGTGTTGACAGGGGGTGGAGTCAGAAGGGTGAACGGGGGGGGGGGGTGTTGATGCCGTCTCCGGGGCACGTCCAGGACTGACACCCCGGATGACTGCTTGATCGAAAATCAATTACCGGCCGATAGATCCCTGCTACTCCATCTCTTATCTGTCATACGAATATTTTTCCCCTCTTTGTTTCTGGTATTTTTTTCGGATTTTTTATTTTCTTGCCTACTTCTTTCTTGTTCTTTATCGTATTCCTTGGTTTGTATTTTTCTGCTTTTGTTTCTGTTTTTTTTCGGATTTTTATTTTCCTACTCGCTTTTTTCTTGTTTTTTATCTTATTCCTTGGTTTGTATTTTTCTGCCTTTGTTTCTGATTTTTTTTTCAGATTTTTTTTTTCTTAACGTTTTCTTGTTTTTTTTTTTTTTTTTTTTTTTTTTTTTAATTCTTTGGTTTGCATTTCATGTCATATTTCTATATTGTCTTTCTATCTTCTCTTTGCTTCTCTCTTTCCTACTTTTCGTATTATTTATCACCTTCTGCCATAAACTTTCTGACTTTATTTTCCAATTATGTTCCTACCCGTTTACTAATTATTACATTCTACCATAAATATATATTTTTCTAACTTCTCTCCCGCTCTATCCTTTGTTTATCCCTTTTCCTATGTTTGCTATTCCTCATCTTCCTTCCCATTGTCTTCTATCTCCCTATCCTTCCTTATCTATTTTTTCCTGCGTCTTCACCTTCTTATTCTCTCAAGACGTTTTAATTTGACGCGGATTTTCCCCCATTTCCCCTCATATTTTCTTCCTCTTTCGCCCCCTCTCTTCTGAGTTTCTCTCACGCTGCCTTGTGGTTTATTTTCTCCGTGAACAGAATATCATTCCGATTATTGTAAAAAAAAATAATAATAATAAAATAAATAAATAAACAAATAAATGAAAAATAAAAAAATGATGATGATGATGATCGTGAGTCTTGAGTGAAAAATAGAAACAAAGAAAAAAAGTTTAAATAATCGTGTGTAAGTCTTAGAGTGAATCACGCCAAAGCTGATTCGATTGGGAGTGAATAATACCACAATACCACAGTGATTAATACCACAATACACGATGGTATGGACGTAGGGAATGATTCCGCGGTGGATAATACCACAGTTTAGAAGGATAAGAATTTGATTTGATTCTACGATGAAGGATATTAGTGTAGGATTTTAGGAGAGTGAATGATTCCATACATGAAGGATATGACAGTACGAGTTGGTATAAATAAGATTGAATGATTCCACAGTGGAAAGTATGATCGTTATCTGAATTGTGGAATTATTTGTTATTTATTTTTCTCTCTCTGTCTGTCTCTTATTCCTTCAATCGTCATTATTCCATGTTTTTTTTCCCTCCGTTTTATCCTTCCTTCCTTTGTTATCTTATTCCGTCATTGTTCGGTCTTCCATATGTTTCCTTATGTCTTCATCCTCCTTTATTCCTCTACCGTCGCTATATCTCTTAAGAAGAAGAAAAGAAAAGGGAAGAGACAAAAAGAAAGGACAAGGAAAAGGGAAACACGAAAGGGAAAAGACAAAGAAAAGGTAAGAAACAAAAAGGAAACGGAAAATACAAAGAATAGTGAAGATACAAAGAAAAAAAGGAAAAGACAAAGAAGACAAAGGAAAAGGACAATAAAAAAGTAAAAGAACGAAAGGTAAATAAAACGAAGGAGAACCTGCCACGTACTGAAAGGTT